TTAGGTATTATGTAAAAGTAAACTTGTAAATATGTACTGGTTAACGCATTCAACTTAATTACTTTTAATCTTTCGCGTGTATTATTCTTATAGCTGAACTTAGTGTTAAATTAAATGAAGCGTGATGCTCTTAAATAAACAATATCCCACCAAAAACATTCTGTAAAAAACTAGCCAAGTCTCGATGGAGCTGCTTGTTTATCTCTAAAAAGTAATGAAATCTAGACAAAGTCGTGCCAAGTCTATGGTTCCTTACTGCGATTTCTTTAATATTATAGTTAATGTTGTGTGACTTGGCCGTTGAAGGGTGACAAAACCAGGTGCTCCATAACACCATTGCACCAATCTGTCGCCAGAAAAACGTTGATTCAACAATAACCAGTCAATTGTAGGTTTAATAAAGCTGCGTATTTCAATAATATTTATGTATGATTATCATAATAAAGATTGTTCAACGGCCAAGTCACACAACATTAACTATAATATTAAAGAAATCGCAGTAAGGAACCATAGACTTGGCACGACTTTGTCTAGATTTCATTACTTTTTAGAGATAAACAAGCAGCTCCATCGAGACTTGGCTAGTTTTTTACAGAATGTTTTTGGTGGGATTTCACTTCTTTTTGTAGAAAGTGGCAAAATTATTTAACGTCGTCATTTTATCGACATTTTTTAACGATATTAAACACAAATAAACTCAACGACCTTTAAAATGGACAATGAATCAGAATTGTTTTAATAACATAACCTTAGCGAACCTAACAATATTAATAAACGAAATCAACGAAATGCAAATTACACAACATTCGACTTATCGACGGGGGGCTCTAGAAAGGAAAAAAATGATCTTCGATTTTCCTAGTTTTTATAGTTTTCCCTTTATGTGGCCATTAAACCCTAACTCTGTACCAAATTTCAGCTCTCTGAGTTTATGGGAAGTACTAGTTCTATTTTGATGATCATCAGTGAGTGAGTGAGCGTCGTAAATGCGAAACTTTGCTTTCGCTTAACTTCGGAACTAAATGACCTACAGACTTGAAATTTTGGATTTTAAGTATGTGATTATAGCTTACTAGATGACGAAAATTTCTGCGTTCTGGTCTTATCCAGAGGTTCTCAAATAGGGGCCTGAAAATGCGGCGAAATGGTTCCAGTAAAGGATGGTACGGCAGTGTTTGCTTCGCGCTCGACTTGGCGGGGGCACTGCCGTGCCCCCAGATTATTACATTTCGTGAAAAATATAACGATATGAAAGGGACACTCAGCCGTCATTAGTGGCAAGATATATTGTGCATATTTTAAAATTCAACGACATAATAATTGATTCTAAAAATTAATTAGTCTATCTATGCGTGCAATACAGTAAAACTATCAACAGTTATATTAAATATACTTTTTTAATAGTTTCACTACCACGTCTAGCATAGTAATATCATGCGACGTTAACATTCAATATGCCTAACACACTGATTTTATTTGATGTTCTAACACAACCTGGTCCTACCCATTAAACTATCTACAATCCACTATACTAATCAAAGCCTGTTTAGAACCATAATACAATAAATTACACTATTTCTTATCACAAATCGTAATCAAGACACGATTGTGTAATGGTAAGTCACTAATCCAAGAAGTATTGTACATCAACGTTTTTTAATAATCCAAACCAACGTTCTCTCAACTAATATTTACTTCGCGATTGACATTGCAATTTTATTATTGTTATTGTTTTAATATCATGCAGTGAAAATTTCAAATAATCATTTTCTATCCTTAACTAATTGATATCCATGGATCAAATATTAATATAATTAATCAACGACACCTAGTGAAAGGCACTGGTCGGAGGCCATTGTGAAGTCAAATCTAAAGGAAGACTTGATTATATTTTCCAGATGTTAATAAACGTAGTATATCGCATAAAAGCATACCGTGCAAGTCTAAAGCCGCGTTTTCACTAGGAGACATTTGTCCCGCGACTCTGTCGCCCAACATGAAATTCACGTGTCCTGCGCGATGTCGCCCGACGTCGCTTGCGACATCTACGGGTCGCGAGACTTGTCGAGGGACAAAGTTGCAGAGACAAACTACGTGAATGTCGGACGACTTATCTCCGCGACATGTCCCCTAGTGAAAACGTGGCTTAAGGCTGGGTTGCACCATCTTACTTTGACTTTGAAAAACGTCAAAAATCTATCAAACTCCATACAAAATACGCCGGTTATCGTTATAGTTACAGTCAAAGTTAGGTGGTGCAATTCAGCCTAAGTTGTAGATAATTCCCGCAAGTGATAAAGTCATCACTCTCCATTTTGCGTCATCACTCGAATACCGGTGTGTATAACTTCGTGAAAAATTGTAATATTCCTGGCCACGCCATAGAAGCAAAAGATTTTGTAGAATAAAATTACACATTAAGAACATAAGAATAGGAAATAAGTCGTTTGGCTGTTTCCGAGAAATTAAAAAAATAGTGGCGTAGTCAGGTGTGTACTTAGTGGCCGGCCACTTCATAAATAACATTATAATTATTTAGTGTTATGAAAAAATGTAGTAGGCCATGTCCAATCCAGTCAAAATAAAATAATTGTTTCGATGTTCTTTATAGTGATCACACAGCCTCTTCTTTGTCTAAAGGAAACTTGTCATTTAGGTAATCTGTAAAGATAGTTTAAGTTGGTGAAAATATAAATAAATAAAATTATTCCATTCAAATGGTGGCCTTACTTAACTCCGGATAACATAGTCCAACATTCTGCGGTTCTAGTTTTGATGATGCGTTCGAATATGTATAACAGACTAGCTTTCCGGCCGCGGCTTCGCCCGCGTGGAATTTCGTTTGTTAAATTTTCCTGAATTTTCTTTAAACCTCACGGAGCCCGAGACCTTTCCAACGAATGCAAAACCGTGGAAATCGGTTCGTACGTTCTGGAGTTATAGCGTCAGGGAGGAAAACCCGACTTATTTTTATATAGTAGACTATATTTTGTTTCCTAAACTTGATGACGTGAAACCATGGTTTATTGCGTGAAAAAATTGGTGAACAGTTAATTTCGCGCTTAGGCCCGGCACGAGTAGGCGCATAGATCCTGTGATATCATACCCTTAGACTTTTTCCTTTTAGGCTATGTAAAGTCCTTAGTCTATATGGATAAACCATGTACGATTAAGCAACTGGAAGCCAACATTCTAAAGTTATTCGCCAAATACCGTAAATAAATGTCAAGAGTTCTTTTGTACAATAATAAAATTTGCCCGATAAATTAGTTTACCTTAGAAAAAATCGTTTTGAAAAAAGTACCCGAAAATGAATGTCCCTATATTTAATTTCTCGTAAACAATCAAACGACATGTTCTACAAAATCTAAATTAACATTACTTTATTGCGACACAAAAGGTATCAAAATGAAAATTATCTGGATTCCATATTTGATTCCGCCATTTTGACGGACATAAAATTGTGTCCGTCAAAATGGCGGGAATCAAACATGGTATCCAGATAATTTTGATACTGATATAATCAGGGTTCGAGGATATATATCAAGGGATATATATCAAGATATATATCGGATATATATCCGATATACAGGGTGTTTGGCGCATCGTGTGCCAAAATGATTTGGCGGATAGAATAGGTCATTTCCTATATTTTCAGCCCCCATAACACGTTCCATGCCAGGCGGCTACTTTTATATTATTTTTTTTAGTAATTTCACCAAAATACCCAAACCGCATCATTTAATTTCGATTTAAAAAAAAACTACTAGGCGTAGCCTCAAAGTAAATATTTTGTTTTGATGTGCATTGATGTAGGGTTGCATCAAATCTAAATTTACTGGCAAATATCATCTAGTTTTTTTTTAAAATCAGCTTTGAAATTTTCCGATAAGTTAAAAATGGACTGAACATTTAAGTTTACATGGCTATAAAAAAATAAATGAAAGAGATAGCGATCTTCGGATTTTATCAAAACTTCTCTAGTTTATCCCCATTCAAACGGTATACTAATCTTGTTTAAATAATAACAATAACTTCACAAATTCCTTAAATTAGTGCATTGACTCTACTCGGACTGATTTGCGAAATTTGTGTTTATAGCCCCTTTTTGTGTTAATAGCACTAACGTGCTATTCACACAAAAAGGGGCTATAAACACAAATTTCGCAAATCAGTTCGAGTAGAGTCAATGCACTAATTTAAGGAATTTGTGAAGTTGTTGTTATTATTTAAACAAGATTAGTATACCATTTGAATGGGGATAGACTAGAGAAGTTTTGATAAAATCCGAAGATCGCTATGTCAATTATTTATTTTTTTATAGCCATGTAAACTTAAATGTTCAGTTCATTTTTAACTTTTCGGAAAACTTCAAAGTTGAATTAAAAAAAAAACTAGATGATATTTACCAGTAAATTTAGATTTGATGCAATCCTACATCAATGCACGTCAAAACAAAATATTTACTTTGAAGCTACGCCTAGTAGTTTTTTTTTAAATCGAAATTAAATGATGCGATTTGGGTATTTTGGTGAAATTACTAAAAAAATTAATATAAAAGTAGCGGCCTGGCATGGAACGTGTTATGGGGGCTGAAAATATAGGAAATGACCCATTCTATCCGCCAAATCATTTTGGCACACGATGCGCCAAACACCCTGTATATCAAGCCGGTTTTGATGATATATATCAACTTTTAAAATTTGTTACTGTATTTGTACTTTTTGATATAAGATTTTTATTTTTTTAGTTGATTTTGCCGTATTTCAAAGATATTTTATGTTTTTGCTTTATTTGTCTGATTTTAAGTTTTAAAAACATTAAAAACATGTTTATGTAACACATATACAATAGTATTCATGAATAATACAATAAAATAATACTATGGCTTTCATACAAAATTGATATATATCAAAGTTGATATATATCGGATATATATCATAAATATCCGATATTTTGATATTTATAATAAATATCGGATATTTTCGAACCCTGGATATAATACTACCTAATTTCTACTATTTCCTACCTTCGATGAAATAATTGCTGTCTTGATATTTGTAAAGTTATAAGCTAAATTATAAAAACTATCTGGTCTCGCCATCTTCATATCAAAATAGCGGGACCAAAATAAACCATTCGCTGTTATTGAGTTCATTTAATTTCAATATTTCCTTTAGTTTGGTCCCGCTATTTTGATATTAAGATGGCGAGACCAGATAATTTAACTTATAACTACAAATATCAAGATAGCAATTATTTCACCGAAGGAAATAGTAGAAGTATCTGGATTCCATGTAGATCCCGCCATTTTGACGGACATGAAAAATCAAATGTGTTGTCAACTTGACATTTTGAATAGGTAGACAGTCGAAACCGCACGTTACAACTTGTTTTTTACTGACAATAACATCGGTTTATAAGCGAATGCCCATGGCAAGAAGAAAAGGAACCCAGAGAAATACAGGCTAGCGTAAATGCTGCACCACTTGGAGAAAACTTTGACATCGAAGGGCACCAAGCTCCATCCCATGAAAACTATTGTGTACAGTTTGAGGAGGAAATATAGTATGTAAGACGTGTACTTGTTGGCCCACATTTGGTTGTAGATTTTGGTTTTGCTGATGATAGGTTCGAGTTCCTTTTCCATGTACATAATCATGAATTCGTTGAAGAATGTCATGTAGTAGCCGGATCGTGTGCCGTGCCATAGCGCTAGGAAGAGGAGCGTGCAGCCCTGGCTGAGGTTCCTGTCGCCTAGGAACTTGAGACGTTTGTAAATATACTCAGCTGCGAAGTGGTTGGTGTTGCAGTTGAAACTCTCGATGTAGTGCTGGAATTTGGTGGCGAACTCGAAGCGAAGCAGCTTGATGTTGCTGCAGCCATCCCACTTCGATACCACCGTGTCGTCGTCCTTTTTCTCCGTTCCGTTGAACGATAGCCCGAAGCGTATGCAAGATGCTGTGAACCACAATAAAATAAAATAGCTTAGATAGGACTCCGAAGTAAAAGGACCCGGAGCAATAACAAACACATAAATCAGTGAGAAATATGTAGATAATGGGAGCAATTAACAATACTATATTTTATTCAATGTTCACAAGGTTGAATGCAATCACTCAGTTATTCTCTTTATGAATTGTTAAAAATGAATACCTAGGTATTAATAAAACTCGACATTCTTATATTATTCATAGGGAAAGTTGTGTTTGAGCTACACAATTATTTTTAATTATAATTGATTGCGGCTAATAACTTCAGAAACAAAAATATAATCGTCTTAAAACGCATAAAACGTTTCCTTATGAGGTATTTTATTGTTTTGTTTGTTGTATTAACGTTTTATAAATGTTAAATGTAAAATCCCGATTGACATGAAAAGAATAAACTTCTAATAGTAAAACCCATTTTATTACGATTCCTTTTCACAAAGAGGTATGGAGGTAGATCTGCTAGATTTCCCAAGACGGTTTATTTACAGCCAACTGTCAATAGTTAAGGTATGGGTAAGGTTTACGAGACCAAAGGGTAAGAGCAGTTTCGCACTACGTCTGATCGGAATTCGTCAAAATGTAGGTATTCGTAAAAAACGAGAGATATGAATAGACTCTACCTACTTTTAGAACTCAATTACTAAGTTATTCAGTACCTATTTTAAAACTTTTTGTATTACGCAATATGGCGCTATCCATTGTATTCAAATGAGACTTCAACGAATTTAATGACGTTATCAAAAATATAGACAACTACATTATTATTTCCTTTCACAACTAATAAGAATAATTTATGAGACCCAAACAGATTACAATTTTGTAAGCCCCTGCTTCATACACCAGTAGGCCTAAGATGCGCGCCGTGATAACTTTTATCGACGTCAATTTGTATGGGCAAAATCGATAAAATGGCGTGATAACCGCCTATCGCGGCGCGCATCTTAGGCCTACAGGACAGATCATGGTATCAGAAGCATGATTCAGATAAAAAGCTATTCACAGTCCACGCTTTTAGGCACTGTTTAGACTGTGAATGTGAATGTTCACATTTCAGCATAATTTACCCTAATAAAACATCTTTCAAAGGTTATGAATTATTCCAGTAGTGGACGTCAATTGGATGCAACAAACAAACGAAACTATACTTATAGGTAGAAAATGAATTTACAGAGGCTATAAAAACTCTTCCAACAATCAAATAATGTATTTTTTTTTTGTATCTCTGTCACGATACATGGATTGGCCGCAGGAAGTATAAATTACTGTGATCCAATTTATCGTAATGCATTGTGGTATTGTAATGACAGATACAGTCGACAGCGATCGGATTTAAGCTTTTCTGATACAAAATAGCACATATGTATTACAACTAATAACACGCTACAATGACATTTACAGGCACATTCGTCAGGCTAAAATTGGCATCTTACACAGTTTCCATAGAAGCTATTTTACAAAAATTTTAAATTTGATGTGCTCATGACTGTACAAAAATAATATGAAAATAAATGTTACCTTCAGTGAGCAACCAACACGAAATGTACTTGTAAAGAGCGAAATGAGCCCAGAGCCCGCAGTACAGGTGGCGGTAGAAGATTGATGCGTCCCAGAACTCGTCAGATAGGATGTACTTCATGCTGAACACCGACACTAAAATATTTATAAAGCACAATGTTTATTACATATCCAGAAAAATACAAACTATTCATTATATCATGCATTTTTTGACGTGTTTAGATTAATTAGGATCTTAATTTTCATTTCAATATAAAAAGCATACTAGGTACCTATGAGAAAATAACGGGCTAAGAGTCGGTGAACTTTGGGCCATCATTAAGTTTGGGTCATCTATATTTATTTTCGTAAACGATTATTACAATAATAATATTCTTATTTCATATCTATTATGTACTACCATTTAATAGCGTAAGCGGTTGACGAAATCGACTTGTTTATTTTGGGGAAATTAGAAATATACTTTATGTTATCTATCAATGACCTCTTTAGATAATTACTTGTATTGTCATAATATAAATACATCAGTATTTGTTCATTCGAACATTATTAAGTTAACTTGAATTCTAAGATAATATGAATAATGTTATTTTGATTAGGGGCATTAATTCTGTACCCCCAGTGAAAACGGAGTTAAGTCGAAAATGGTGATTTTTGGGAAATCGCATTTGAAGTTAAAAAAAATCCTGCTTCGTCGCTATTAGAGATAACTTGGTGAAATATTTTTTAGGTGAAAGGTAATGTTAGATATAATTAGGCAGTGTGCCAGTTTGGGAAATATAGCATGTAGTTTTTTCGTAATTAAATAAAAACCCAGTTATATCGCCATGCACGGCAACTTTATATTCGTGTAAAGTGATGTAATGGGACATAAATCATTTTACACCACACTGAATTGACCACCCGCTAACAAGTGTAAAGTGATACATTTTACGCTATTTCTGTTGATATTTTTTTGTTTCTTTAATTTTAGAAAAAGTTGTAAAACAAACATTAGTAATTACACTATGAGGAATCATTATTTCAGGTTATTTAGGGTAAATCGTCCAAAAATTTCTACTTATATCAATATACACCAATTTTGTGATGAGAAAAAAAATGTGTAAACTGATCTAACTAACATAATAGCGATCTAAGTATCCTAATAATTATGTGTAAAGTGATATAAGTGGCGATTGTAAAGGAATAAGGCTAGAATTTAATTATATGTTTTACTAGTAGATGTTAACCATTATTTATTAAAACTATTAACTAAAGTTCTTTGATTTATAAACTACGCATTATGTTTTCCTTTAATCTGACAATTGGGCTAAGTTATATCATTTTACACCAAATAATTAACCAAATCATTAGTTGCGATTTTCAAATGTTTTTGATCTAAGTAACTGATAACATTTTACACATGTACGAAACTTTTGTGGTTAATGGTATTAGTCTAATTGAATCATTATACACAAAATAAATAATCATTTGTCTTTTACTTTTTGTGATATAAATTAAGTTACATTCTTTTTCACCAACCAACAATACATAGTTTTTTTTGTGTATATTAATATGAGTCATCTTATATTGTTAATCACAAATTCAATCTGAACAACTTCAATCGTGTAAAAAGTAGTAACACGAGTCGTACCTCTTGACACAATAAAAAATTGAAAGAAGCCTCCGGTACACTTTGTTAAAAGTAGACATGTATCAATATACACGAAAGAAAACTCAAAATTGGTTCACAAAGCCTTACTTGAATCATTTGGCACAAAATTATTTTCTTTTCTATACGTCGTAGAAACATACCGATTAGATACAAAAATAGCTAATTTTTCAGAGATTCACATTATGTTATAAAGTCAATTTTGATCTAAGTCGAGTTAGATCCCTTTTCACTGGGGGTACAGAATTAATGCAAGTAGGTAATACAGTACTTATTATTATTCTGTGGTAATACCTATTTAATAGACGAGATCATTATAAAGATACACAACAATGAACATATTATATGCTAGCAATAATTTACACATCTTTGTTATCAAAAGTATTGTTCGTACATACCTCCAACTTGGAAAGCAATTAAATAGGCCACTCCTTGTAATAATCTAGTCATTGCTTGCTTATTGAACACAGCCTCTTCTTTGTCTAAAGGAAACTTGTCATTTAGGTAATCTGAGTACCGCCGGAAGGAGAAAATTGGCCCAACAAGGAAACATGCAGGAAAGTATATGAAACCAATCAATTCCAGGAACGATGGCGCTTGTGTCAGGGCTGTCTTTTTAGTATTGGCCGAGAGCTCTTCTCCTTTTGACATTTTCTTTCCGTCCCAGAGGTCAAAAGAGAGTGCTATCAACTTCAGTGTGAGCACGCAATGAGGCATTGTCCATGTGATGTCATAATCTTCTGACTCCGTTACTATATATCCAATCAGTAGATAGGACATGTTGAATATTAAAGACACAATTACATTCTTCTTGCCCGGCCCGAGCACCATTGTAGTGAGGTAGATGACAACAGCTGGTATGACATTATGGAACATGGATAAACCGAAATTGTAGTAGGCCATGTCTAATCCAGTCAGAATAAAATAATTGTTTCGATGTTCTTTATACTGATGCCTTACATATTTGTGGTAAACTACAGCTAAGGGGTACCCCATTAAAATAGATATGAGGAGTTTGAGTGCAGGTTCTGTGGTACCAATCACATCTGCGATAAATGGTACTGGACTGAGCTGTAACCAGCTCAGAACCGACAAAAATAGACCCCACATTTTGTTTTGAATCTGAAAAGACGAAACAGTTTTTAAGTAACCTAAAAAAAGATGAGTTTTAAAAATATTAAAACAGATCTCAAATTATGCAAAAATATTCACATTGTATTATAAATTTAGCCATTGAACATTAGAGTATTATGTTTTACATGTTTAAGAATAAAAGATTAGCTCTGTATCTATTGTATTTATCATTATATGTTTTACTACTTCTATTTTAACACAATATTAAATTCTAGACGATGGAATCTGTCCAACATAGTTAGGATGGATCAATTGCAACCGCAAATTCTTTAAAAAATGACAATATTTATTTTGGTTTTTTATAATAATATGAAGGCATAATCTTTATATGTATAGTTTAACCCATAACCAGGCTCTGGTGTCCATAGAGCCCACATTAATTTGAACTTTATGCTATAAAGATATGGTTAAAACCAATGACTTTATTTGGTTTGGTTATGGGATAAAACGAAGTCTCTCCCACTGTTTGTGTACTTAGATCTTTTAAAGTACGCAACGGATTTCAATGCAGTTTTTAGTGATTGAGTGACTCAAGAAGGTTTATATATCTTTAATATTTAATACAAGGCATGCGAAGCCGGGGCATGTTGCTAATATGCAAATAAATGTTTTTGTACTTTATAAAGTAGGTGCAGCAAATGTTGCAACCACAATAACACTATAACCGTTTTCACAACTGTTTAGTGTTTAATACTCAGAAAAAGAAGAAAACATGCTCTGTTTATGCCTCTCTAAGAAGTTTTTAATTTTTACCCTAACCTTAGCCCTAACCTCTAACCGAAAATTGTAAAGATTAAAAGTAAACGGAACACAAGTGAAATCTTACATAATATATTAATTACACAGCACAGAACACAGCCGCCCAGCAAAGATTGAAATGTAGCCACACAACTTTACTTTTCAATTAATTAAAAATAGAATTATAGTTTATTGATTTTTAGATCGATGCTACAAAGAATGCAGTACAAGGTCAAGCGCTCAACAAAATATATGCAATTTAACAATGCAATGTTGCAAAAATATCATTAGATACTCTATCCAACCTATACCTACCTACCTACCCCTATTGCCATACAAAGGTAACACTTAGCAAAGTACTTTCTTATCAAAAAGTTAAGTTACATGCACAATATTATTCAAAATCTATTATTTACGACCTAATAGTATAAAATTCGTTGATTTATGTAAATGGATTGATTTAAATTTCTCAACTCACCGCCACACAAGTACCTAGGTAGTCAATCAGCACAGCAATCGCCAATCACCAATCACAGCACAGATAAAAAAAATGCAATCCGCGAACTGTCTGCAAGACCGTCTGTCTGTCACTTCCACAGATAAGGATAGATGCAGCATGTGTCAAAATTTGTATGAAGCCGAGCGTGCCACTTTTTAAACGTCATTAGTGTCATTTTAGCGAATTTTAGTGATTGCCGCAACGTAAAAGTAATCGTATCATCGTACTGCATTCGCAAAGTCATCGAATGATATCGTGTGACTCGATTCAAAAATTAATTAATTCCGATAAAACTGATATTTTGTTAAATTTATAGCTAGTCTGACTGTGGATTAAAATAATTATGTAGCGGTAGACGTTATTCTACAATTCTACATTATTAATTTGCAAATAATATTTTTGTTGTGCCTAATGTTTATGAAAGTAATGATCGTTATTCCATTATGTTAAATAGTACTACTAGTAATTCATACTTAATTCCATACTTTTAAATATCCTAGTAAGTAAATGACCTACTTTCATAAAATAAAGACTATTTTACTCAAGCTTTTTATTTTTAATAAATGTAAAAATGCGTAGTTTTGCCAATACGTTTTCTTTCATAAAGCTAAGTCAGGTACCTAGTTTTGAAGATATTTCTAGACGACAAAATCTCGGGCGTCGTATACATAGTAGTAATAGTGTATACTGCGATCACTGACCTAACTTCTTGATTTGTATATTTCGACGTTATACAGTGCACTCTGTCTTCCGCGATCACTGATCTAACTGTTTTATAATTCTTCTTCTGCTACTTTATTCTAATTAATTACATATTTGTTACTCGTTGCTGTTAATTACAATTCTCAATCCGTAAATAATTTCTTCTCTCTACCGTGTTCGTACTACTGTCCTCGTAAAGTCATCGTATCCGATTGTTGTAATCGGATTACATGAACATCACTCGACCATGTATGTCCATTTGGACATATCGGAATGGCACGCTTTGACTAGCAACTTGCTGTATCTACTCTAATCCATATCTGTGGTCACTTCGTATAGATGACCCACGCTGAACTGTCCCACCAAATCACCAAACTCAATGACAGGGGGGCGCTACTATCGTTCAACTATATGGTTTGCAACATGGCAAAAATCTGCGATTCGGTATTGACGGTGGCGCCCCACTGTCAATGTCATCGACAGAGGATACTCACACTCTCACTCAACTGTGCCTTGCTGTGCCTGACCACCCACTATAGTAATATATGGTTTCCAACATGGCAAAAATCTGAACCAGCGATCCGGTATTGACGGTGGCGCCCCACTGTCATTGAGTTTGGTGGGAGGACAGTCCAGTATTTTGGAACTTTTTTGATTTTTGTTACTTGACGTTTCAGAATCATGGGTGGGACTTTAAATGACCCATGAAGCTACAGATAAAAATGGAGGCCACACTCCGAATACCTACTTGAAGCACAAACTAAGTATCACTATCTCGCTTTCTGTGGGCAGACTCGCTCTTTCTAAATAAACAAAAAATATAAAATTGCTCAAATTCAATGAAACCAATGTAAAATCTTTATTTCTTGACATAGGTATCATTAAAAATGATAAGTGTAATTAGTGGTAAAACGTTTTAGGAAGAAATTACTGTAAAAAATGTGAAAAATGTTTACAATGATCCAATGTCGGAAATGACGAAATAAACACTTACGCGTGGAATCTTATGTCACTTCCAGGACACCACGTACTACCGCAACCACGCATTACAAAATTTTGCACCAATTCTTGTGATAAAACAATGATTATTCCCTGTAAACAATCTCAAACGAAATTAACTGCTTAATAAACAAAATAGTAAACAACCGCCATGATGGGCCGGATTGGGCCGATGTTGCCACATGGTACCGATTACCCAGGAATTGGGATTGTAATTCCCTGATTCACCAACACATTAAGCCTAAATGGCCGACAATTTTGTGATTTTTTATTGAACTAGGTAATCTTAGTTTCAAATATTAATTACTCTATAACCTGCCCAGGAGTATGAAGAATAATTGTACCAAGTTTCGTTAAAATCCGTCGAGTAGTTTTTGTTTCTATAAGGAACATACAGACAGACAGACAGACAGACAGACAGACAGACAGACAGACAGACAAAAATTTTACTGATTGCATTTTTGGCATCAGTATCGATCACTAATCACCCCCTGATAGTTATTTTGAAAATATATTTCATGTACAGAATTGACCTCTCTACAGATTTATTATAAGTATAGATTTATTTGTTTGACTTCTGATTTGGTTAGTGAATTGGCTATTTCGAAGAATTTACAAGGAGATTTAAATCAGAAGATAGCAATACTACAGTTCACACTAAAAGAGAGGTAGGGCCGCAGAGAGCGAGATAGATATAAGTAGGTATTTGACTCAAGTTTTTGTTCCAACTTTGCCCTCCATTTTTATCTTTAGCTTCATGAAATGACCGAAGAATACGCTGAATTGTTTCACTCGTGATATTGACAGGGGGCGCCACCGTCAATAGCGGGTCGTTGGTTCCAATTTTCGCCATGTTGAAAACTTTAAAGTTAAATGATGGTGGCGTCCCCCTGTCAATGAGTTTGGTGGGACAGTTTAATTTAGGTCAATTAAATAGTTTCCAACATGGCAAAAATCTGAACCAGCTATCCGGTATTGACGGTGGGCGCCCCGCTGTCTGTCACAGATAGGACAGTTCAGTATTTTGGATCTTCTATATAGTTGAACGATGGTGGCGCCCCTCTATCAATGAGTTGGGTGGGACCACTGACGTATAATATATCTCATGGACTTTGCGTAACTTTAAAATAAACGTGCAAGGTATAAAATACAAACACGAGTTAAGAAAACAAAATGGCCGCAATACAGGCAATCAGCTGACAGGTTTCCGTGTGTGTGTAGTTATCAGCTGATTGCCTATATTGCGGCCATTTTGTTTTCTTAAATCTTGCATGTACTCGGCACAAGTTAGGTAGTTAATAATGACGTTACATGAAATAGTTCAGTGTAGGTCATATCGCACGTTCATAATCAAACTGTCACTATACAAAAAAGTAGATTTTTCAGGAAAAGCATTTGAAATGCTCAAATTTTAAAACCCTTGCAAAATGAGCAAAATGCTATTAAATGTTTTGTTTTTTGTTAAAGACCAGTAGTGGCTTATTTGGCTTTTACGGAAATATAATTATCTTTCAAATTATCATAATGGTTTATTTAATATTTAATTTTTTTCTCTAAAAATAGTGTCACTTTTCCACTAAAATTGAGACAGTGACAGTTTTCAATTAAAAACGTGTTAATGTTGTATTATTAATTCCGGTAGAAATGTCACTATTTTCATATAAATTTGACGATGAAAAATAAAAAAATGATTATTATTAAATAAAACTAACACAAAAAAATCAGTAATTTTAATGAACTTAAAACTTAATAATTTGGATTATGTGGTACCAATGGTAACAGTAATAAATGTAAATTCTCGATCAGAAATAAATACGTTACACACATGAAATTACTATAAAACTACATCACATAAATCAACTTCTTAGAAAATAAGGTACTCTCTTGTTCAGGCAGCCTTTAAACAACCAGAACTTGATGACCTCGATGAACTTGACGAACTAGATAGTGATTTTTCATGGGAAAAAGGCTCAGAGAAGTAGGTTTAAATTCTGGATCATTATCCAGCGGCCATTACCTCTGCGAGCTATGTGCCCCGCCCACTGCCACTTGATTTTAGCGATTCTGCGGGCTATGTCGGTCACTTTGGTTCTCCTGTGGCTCTCCTCATTTCTGATTCAATCACGTAGGGAAACTAACTGAGCATCGCACGCTCCATCACCTTTTGGGTGACCTCTCAGATTCATAAAATATCACTGGCAACACACACTGATCAAAATTTTGTCTTGAGGCACTGCGGTATTTCGGACGTGAGTATATCACGAAGCTTCCCGAAAGCTGCCCAGCCAAGTTGGATTGACGATTGACTTCTTTCTCGAAGTTGGACCTGCGTAACTGGACTGTTTGTCCCAGGTCAGTAAACTTTCGAGTGTAGAGTCTCCAGATAAGTGGATACTACATGGACATTTGACATGTTTTTTGTCTTGTCCATATTCATTTTCATACTCATTCATCAGGCCCACTTGTTGAGAGGCTCTACTTAGGCTATCGAGCATTATGCCTAGATCTTCCACAGTCTCAGCCATGATTACGACATCGTCCGCAAATCGAAGGTGGATTATGTACTCGTTGATATTTATGCTGAATCCGCTCCAGTTCAGAAGCTTGAAAACATCTTCCAGGGCGGTGTTGAACAGTATCGGAGATATGACATCTCCCTGTCTCACCCCTTGCTGCAACTGGATGAGTTTCGAGTCCTGATCCTGGAGACGAACCGACATTGTGGCGTTTTCGTACAAGCCTTTCAACACTTCGATGTATCTATAGTCAATTTGGCACCGTTGGAGAGACTGTAGCACTGCTCAGATCTCGATCGAATCCAAGGCTTTTTCATAGTCCACAAACGTTAGACAAAGTAGTAATTACCTTGATAATTTCTTTGATTTTACTAGTGTTTCGATTGACTGGTGGCATTTTTGTTAGATAAAATTATAACTACTTAGTCATTTAAAAATATTTCTTGTTGTTTTAATATTTCACATTTTTGGATAAGCACAATATTATACGAAGTGATGAACAATCTTTTTAAAAATGTAAGAGAAATATTGTCACTTTTTGTTTTAAGGCGTTTTTCGTATTACTTTATTGTGACTTATCTTATGGTTTTGGAGTAAAAGCGTCTTTATGCTAAAAATGACGTTTTTCAACACAGAGTTTACATAACTATCACAGCGTGCCCGTCCAGATCCCGTCACTACTAAAACGTGTCACTGTTACTCACAACAAATGCCGGTTTTCCCATTAAACTCCATAACGACACTAGTGATATCTGCCGAACTATTTGAGCTTTAAGCTTGGGATTTTTAGAGCATGCACTTTTCGCGGAGCGCTGATAGATGGCGATGTTAACTCAATTTCTCCCAATTTCGTATAGTGACGGTTTGATTATGAACGTGCGATATTTACAAATATTTATGCAAAGATTTTTTTTAAATAGCGCAGTTCCATTGGTTACAATTACTTACATTAGCAAACCTCTACAAGCACTAGTGTTGTATCTACTTTTGAAATCCGGATCCGGATGATTCGATAAACTGCCACCCATCTCTAGCCGTAAAAGATTTCACAGCGCATGACAGACCACCAGCATTGCTGAAAAATCAATACTCAGCAAAATAAAACCTTAATCCTTTACTTTCGTAATCGTAAAAGTGCTAGTCTTGTCTAGATTGTGAGAGTACTTAATTACTTACTGTAGTTGTTTAATGAGTGACATAAATCTTGGACCCTTTTCAATTGGTAAATGAGAATTATGGTAAGTTTCTGATAAAATTTTATCTTATGAATCTGTTGTTACTTCATTTCAATTTAGTGGATAAAACCTAATGTATACTAATTAATAATATATTTTTGAATAGTCTAGTATTAATTAATATCGTATTATGAGTTATGACAATTTTGTATTTAGGTACAATAATCTGTAGCTTTTTCTAATCAATCATTTTCAAACTAATGTTCATTATTTATTGTCAATTTGAAATGTTTTTACGATTATGTGCAAAAAAAGTAAGTAACAAAAATAGGCATTTTCTTAATAAGTTCACGCTTAGTACCTAAAAACAAACCTATTCCTTTATAAAATAAAAACGTGTAATTATAATCATAAAATTGTATAAGTTAATACGTAATTAAAAATAATTTAATATTTTAAAACTTTTATTTTCAAGCTATACCTAATTTATTAAAATATTACTGAAATTGTTATAGGGAAAAATAAATGTGCAGCAAAACTTTAACAGGAATAAATTAATATTTTGGTATGTTGTAACTTAGGTACTAAAAATCATGACGCACGGTTTTCGTTAGAGTGACGAGCGCTGCATAAAATTAATGTCCGCCATTTTGTTTGTTTGTTTGTTTCAAGTAGGTACTGCGCGGTGGTGAAAGACGTGCTTTTAGTATGCCTTAAAATGCACCTACCTACGAACTTGATAAATGCCTTTGTGGCACTAGCCGAGTAATTTAGTAGAGTGACTCGCCTTTAGATAAACTACGTATTAGGTACACTCGAGAGACTAACCAAAAAAAACATTCGCACTTTGGTCGAGTATACAAACCAACACGTCATGACATTGGCCTTTAAAGCTTAGCCGCCCCTCGACTAACGAGTTCAATCTTCGTTCATTATAGGAACGCATGATGGATGGGGGTGCTACTCGCCTCTCAAAATAGAACAAAATGCATTGGCACGATTAAGTGATTTAGTTATCTACTCAACTAAATTATTCGACTACACTCTTCTCACTAAAGGCATAAGTATAAGACTAAGAACTGTGGCTACTGCGCTGTGTGATTTCAAGGACTTCCTTTCCTTAATAATTTAAGTCACATACCACTTATTTTATTTTATTCACTACCTATAAATTGCTGCGGCGCGGCAGCGACGTAACGAAAATGAGGGTGAGACATTAATTTATTTAGGATATTATTTATGATTACCTCTATAGGTGGTAACTTTTAATTACAACGGGGTATGTTTTATTAAAGGTTTATGTTGGTCGCATAATAAAGATTGTCTAATCAATGTTTAAATTGAGGCATGCATCATATTCATTAATATGCTTATTTAACTCGACTTTACTTTCTGTCTGTGCTTTCTTTCCTAATAATAATAATATCTATGATATTATTTAGAGTGAATTGCATGCGGTACTTACAATAAAATGCATAATGACACTCCATAAATATTGATATTTTTCATTCCATTTGGAGAGATAATCTCTGAAGTCTCAACTACTTGTCTAGAATTAATCGATATCTTCGCAACACTGCACCACAACACTTTTTTTTAGTTGTCAAAAAAGTCGCACAGATTATAAAGTGTCGGTGTCAAAAAGTTGGAATCGTCCCGCCGCGTCCTATTTTGCTTGCTTCATTTCGTTGCAAAGAAGAACGGTCACGCCCCATACAAAAAAAACCCAGACCCGACAGAAACGAGACATATCTCAGTTTTTTTATCATGTCTTAATTAGTTAAATTATATATTTTTTATATTCGAAATCTATGTATAACACCAAAATATTACCCTTTGTTTTTGTTCAGGCGCTATACAAAAACTAATACAAAATGCCTATTTATCACCAAAATTGGTAAATGTATGTACCTAAATGTCTATTACAGCTGCTATGGAATGTATCTAGGTGACCTGGAGATACAGCCGGATTATACAGGGTGGTTATACATATGGAACGATAAGTGTTCTCACTCGATTATTTCTAAATTATACAAGATATCGAAAAAATAGTTACTGATTCTGAAAGTGCTTCACGAGCTCTTTCAAATGGTACCAATAATAGGTTACAGATTATGGAAGCTGGTAACATTGAATTTTTGGATTTTGTAACTTCTCGTTTCCACCCTGTATAATCCGGCTGTATCTCCAGGTCACCTAGATACATTCCATAGCAGCTGTAATAGACATTTAGGTACATACATTTACCAATTTTGGTGATAAATAGGCATTTTGTATTAGTTTTTGTATAGCGCCTGAACAAAAACAAAGGGTAATATTTTGGTGTTATACATAGATTTCGAATATAAAAAATATATAATTTAACTAATTAAGACATGACAAAAAAACTGAGATATGTCTCGTTTCTGTCGGGCCTGGGTCACAAATGACCGTTCTTCTTTGCAATCACACACGTTTTCTTTCTGGAACGAAAATGACTTGCAAATTTGTAAATTGAACTAAAGTTTTGATTTTCTTGGTCATCGACATGTTTACGTAGAGTATTTTGAAAAGCATTTGTTTCTTACGAGTAAGCAATCCACGGAAACGCAAAATCTTATTAGTAAGTTGATTTGATTTGTGCTGAGGATTTGTGTTAAAAATCTATTTGCTACTCGTTTGAGGCAATCAAATATTTCATCAAGTATTCAATAACTTTTTATTGAACTTCTATATATTTAAGGTGTTGGTGGAGGGTTTTTTTTTAATGATTTTCGGCTAGCTACTAATTCGGGTCCAAACATTGTAGTAGGCCCAGTAGAACTCGCAACATCATGGGGGACTCAGCCGGAGACTGGTGTCTAATTGAAAGTGATCCTGGAGTGTTCACTCAACTCATCAGGAAATTTGGTAAGCAAACCTATGGGTTATCCGAAGTCTACTCTTCCTTGTTGCCACTTAATTAACACTGATTGATTTTTATGCCATAGGTGTCAATGGTGTACAGGTGGAAGAACTATGGAGTATCGAGGATGATAGTTTTGATAACTTAAGGTAAAATATTTGATCATATCTGTGATATGATCATATTTGTAAAACAGTAGGTACCTACTAGTAAAATCGGTAAACATTTTGTAGGTGTTTTTTAAGGTCCTGTGAACTGTGAGGATACAAAAGTTCCAAAAGCAGCTTCTATAGCGAAATAGATTTGACCTGCTGATTTAAACTCACCTAACCTATCTACCGATCACACATTTGTATTCTAGCACGAAATAAATCTGAATTGTTTTGTGTTTTTTTATGCTCCCAAAAATTTCTTTCTTATGCTTGGGATGCTGAATTAAATCTAGATCATTATTATCACACTTTGTTAGTGTGATTATATTTTACTGATTTATTGTTATTGAAATATTTTATTGTACTGAAATAGAATGCTGTGCGACATTTAGATTGCTTCATGACAAAGCTTGAATCATTTTGCTGTATAACTATAGAACTCACTCCTGACCTTGTCAATTTTGTTCCAGACCTGTTCACGGATTGATATTCCTGTTTAAATATCTTCAAAACGAAAATGTACCAGTTGATGTTGTTACTGACAGTCGTATTGACCGGATCTATTTTGCTAAACAGGTAAACCTCAAGTTATCAAGTACTTATTTTTCAGATAATAAATTGTGTTTTAGAAAGATATACAGGATTGGTGCACTACCACATGTTATAACACTAATCAAAAGTACCGTTTAAATCTTACCTACTAATATTATAAGTGTGAAAGTTTGTGGATGTCTGGATGTCTAGATGTTAACATGTTGATGAAACTTAACAGTATTATTGTTTATAACCTAAAAAAACCTAGAATAACATATAGGCCATAATTTATGATGATCTGTGACAAACTAAATTTCATGCAGCTGAAGCCACGGGCAAAAGCTAGTATGTACTTAATTTAACCATGTAAAATATAATTATTCGCCAAATCCTATGACATTTAGTTGCTGGATGGCAGCAATTACCAGTCTACTTCTGTTCTACAAATTTTTCAAAATTTTTTCTTCATTCTATCTGCAGGTGATAAGCAATGCATGTGCAACCCAGGCATGTCTCAGCATCCTACTGAATTGCACTCATCCGGATGTCGACATAGGTCCAGAACTAAAGAAGCTGAAGGAATTTAGCATGTCATTTGACCCCAAAATGAGAGGGCTGACTCTCAGCAACTCGCAGACTATACGGAGTGCTCACAACTCAATGAGTCAACAAGCGGTCATTGAGGTAGACCCTAAGGCACCGGCAAAAGTAAGAAATATTTAAAACCATAACTGCTTTTTATTAGTATTAATTTTAATGCTTAACTTTATATTTTTAGCTTTAGACATTATTACTTTGTTTTGTTTTCTTTATTGTTTTTTTTTATTCTGTTATATTGCAATTTCGATCCTAGGAAGAAGATGCTTACCATTTCGTGAGCTACATGCCGATAGAAGGTCGCCTCTACGAGTTGGATGGATTGAGAGATGGCCCAATAGACCACGGCCCTGTCAGTCTAGAGCAAGATTGGATAGACGTGGTCCGACCGATCATATTGAAAAGAGTGAACGCGTAAGTTATCAAATCTTGCTTCAGAATAAAAAAATAATAATAGCCAAACTCTTAAAACGGAGCAGATCTAGGTTAATTATTAAAATAGGGATCATCCTTTCCCTTGCAGGTACAACGAGGGGGAGATCCACTTCAATCTGTTGGCCGTGGTGTCGGACAGGAAGATGATTTACGAGCGGCAGCTGGAGGAGGTGATGACCACGACGGGCCTGCTGGGCATGGAGACGGACGAGTTCGACAGCGAGGTGCCGCGTCTGCGCATGCTCATCGACTACGAGGAGGTCAAGATGGCGCGCTACCGGCAAGAGATGGCTCGCAGGAAGCACAACTACTTGCCCTTCATAGTGGTTCTACTAAAAATACTGGCCGCCGAGAAGAAACTGATGCAGGTGTACGAGAAGGCCAAGGAGCGCGCGTCGAAGAGAGGCCACAAGAAAATGAAAGTATAACATGAGCCCCGGGCCGGCGCCCGGGAGGAAAAAGCGCCGGCCCCCGTCGCCCCACGACGAGCCTCCCACTCCAGCCCTTCCCGCTTGCTAGAGGATTCCGAGGAAATGCCGTACACGTTAGCCGACTTAGATGCGATATACAGAGACCCCACCCAAGAGCCCAAGCCCACGCCCCCGCCTGCCTCCGAGGCGCAGGAGGCGGCCACCGAAAACTCGCTTGAGCAAGACCTCAACGCGCTGCAAGAGACGCTGGACAAAGACATGATGGAGATGGAAACTGGCCACATCGGCATCTTGCCGCCGCCTCCGCAAGTCATCGAAGATGAGTCGCTGGAGCTCCAGGAGATTATGGTGGACAATGTAGTGGCTTCAGAAGTGGTTTTAGAGGACGATGTGTTCGATCGCGCGGAACTTTTGGATGACGACCCTCAAGATACTCTAAAAGACGACTTCGACTGACTAAACTTTTTCTAAATATGTACCATTGGCATGCAATAATGGTACATATTTAGAAATTTGCCCATTTGCGCTAATAACGCAGTCAGTAGTCGGTATGACTATTTTAGAGATAGATTTTTGATCAAGATTCATTCGGCCTTACAGAATCAATTTAATTTGCATTGCATGCATGCACCATTCAGTTCATTTTTGGCATTACAAAATCATTAAATATCGTCTTACAAATTATAATTATAAATCAATGTATCTTGAAATCATGTTAGTGGGCTACTTTTAAAGTTAAAGTGCTTCATATACCTAATGTTTATGGTATCTAATAGGCAAGATGTACTACAAACTCGGAGTTTTCTTATACTGTTTCTCAATAAAACAAATAAATTAAAATATGTAGATTTAATTTCTAAATACAGTATTCAATAATTCGATAGTTTAAACGAGCAATTATTCAAAAACAGTCATGTTTTTCAATACTACGCACTATATCTAAGATTTGTGCTATTTGAGAATTTTTGAACATTGTTCGTTTAATTAACATAAAATAATTTACACATTTTACAATAAATTCTGGCAGTGTTAGTAGCGACGTATATAGTATAACAGTTTCATAAAAAATATACATTTATTCGTAGGTTTAAGCATAATGGCGATTAGATTTACATACATTTCGTGCATTTGTATGACACATCATCTACCATATAAGTACTTATCAGGTACATTTTATGTAGCTGCTAAACGTTACGTATACATAATAGGAAGTTGAGAGACGTGTCGCAAGCAAAGTCTGTGGAAGATCTTAGCAATATAGCATTAAAGTAATTAATTGATACACTATTTAGGATAAGGTAGAATTGGGAAGTACGCATAGTATCTACTCGTAAAAGTTATAAATATATTTAATACAAGGAAGACGGTTTATGATAGTTTACTATGCCAGTTTGGTATGTGTATGTAATATCGTACCTACTGTCATTTCAATTTACGTCTTAAAATCGATCACTGCATAAAAATAATTATTTACATCTTATAAAATTTATTCTTACATCTAAATTATAAACCTAATTAACGAAGGTTTTTTTATGTATCAAGATATAATGATGAGTAATAAATTAATGAATTTGAGGAGTGATGTGGCACGTTGATAATATAGTTACATAGGTGTTCGTTATTTACAAAAAGAGTGATTTTGTGTCGAAAACGATGCGTTAAATCCGTGACGTGATGAGGGAATATTTACAGAGATAGGTACGTATCTTGAGCGAAGCTGCCTTCTATGTTCTATGTCGTTACATGGATTCGTTGTTCATAATGTTGCTGCGCCAAAATAATTCGTTATTCTCGTTATTTGAATATCACAGGTACATATAGAGAATAGAAGGGAGTTTACGAGTTTAATCAGAGTGCTTGTATTGTCGGCGGAATATTATGGTTGAATCCACGTAATGAGGGAACAGAGGCTGTACGAGTAGTATCGGCGGGGCGCGAGGGGCGCCTCACGTGTTGGGCTGCAGGCCCCGCGGCTTTATCATCATCGACGCCCGCTTGAGCGTGTAGTCCCAGCCCCTCCAGCGGAACCACACGATGCCTGGAAAAAAAACCAGTATTCAATATAACTTTGTGTCTTAAGGGTCGGCATACACGCTACTTGGAGCAGTCTATGTCAACTGGAGGAACCACGATGTTATTCTGTGGATTAATACCGCTTGAGCACTTGTGGTAACTCCGGACAGTTTGCAATAAAGACTACAAAAGCAGTCGACTGAATGTGATGTTGCATATTATTGTGTATACCGGCCCCATATGTTAGTGTTTAACCCTTATTCAAACGCAAGATGGTATGCATTTTTTTTACAAAGTTGAAGTGGATTTTGGGTAATTGTGGGTCACTTATTTCATATTTATGATCAACATTTATAAAAAAATAGGGGAAGGGGTAGTTTTTTGGGTGGTAAATAATTTACCATTATCCATTCATGACTACAAATTATTAAATGTTGGTGGTAAAATAGTTACCATTGTCCGTTTTGGTTTATTTTTGGTTCTTGACTAGTGACTTCCTCTTGGTTCTACCTATATTTTATTAAATATTTTGGGAATGAAATAAATTTATTGTTTTTATAAAAAAAAAAAAATATTAATATTACTTATTATGCTTACAATTAGGATGCTTACCTTGAGTCTGAAACTAACAATTCACTAATTACGTAACGTCAAAACGTTACGTAAATAGTTATCAAAATAACTTAAAATTTCTCCAAATATTTATTTAGTTTTATTTGTGCAAACAACAGTTTTTTTTATATATCATCAAACTTTTGTCAAGACGGGATCGGACAATGGTAAACTATTTACCACTTCTTTAAAATGTCTAAATTATGTGAATAAATCAATTGCAGACGTTGCCTATAAGTGAGATTATACAATAAATGTTAAAGTTTAGGAATTTGAATCGAAAAAACACTTATCAGAATTTTCGTTGAACAAAGTTTCAAAAATACCAAAAACGCGCGCTAAAAACTTGAAATTTTTCACACCAAAACCATTTGGTTGACTTTGACATTACCTGACAGTGACAAATGACGTTGAAAAGTTGTAAAATGGCATAGATAAGTAAAAAAATATATTTAAAAATATAAATAAGTGACCAAGATATATTTAAGTATTACCATATCGAAAATTAGGATCCTTTTTTAAAAGTAAACAAAGTGGTAATATATCTACCTTTATTTGAATAAGGGTTAAGGTGCATACATACGGATATTGGACTTTTTGTGCTGCGGCAGTTTATTGTAGTGAGGTTAAGTATTTTATTTAAAGAATGGCATTCAATGACTTTATGTCTGTGGTGTCTTTAATATGAATAACATGTAATAATTAATATAGCTAACCGGGTATTTAATACTATTATTGATGTATTTTTGCAATATTATTCTCGATGTATTTTTAGGTGCTGGTTGGAAGCCGACCTCAGACCGCGTGCCGGCCTGGGTTATGCGCTTACGCACAGTGCCGCTGCGCCTTGACTCTTCATACGGGAGCAGCTTATTACAAATTCGGCAATGTATACGGTAAACAATGTATTTTTAATGAAAATCGATGGTTTTGTAACCTGAAACTGCCTCGATACTAATGTATAGCAACGAGTAGGTAGTGTCATTGGTTCTGCGGTGGCGGTCTGCGGTCGGTTACCAATCATTATAATTATTATCCATATTAATGTTCATATAATATTATTGCTCATTATGCGCTCATAATAATCGATGTTGTATGTACCTAATAACTTATAGTATCCGTGTAATATATTACTAATATCTTCTGTCTGTATACCACTATTTCTTTGGATGCTTACTTATGAAATTGCTGACATATTACAGATTCATCGATTCATAATTCCTGTGATTTAATGTTTGTTTCTATTTGCTGATTAAAATAAAATTTCAAAAATAATTCACCCTATCTCCCAAAACTTAAATTTTAGCAACATTATATTTAATTAGTTTTACTTGCAATGTACAAAATGGCAATTTCATAGGTAAGTTCTTTTAACAGGCAAGAGTACCTTCTCACAAGATAATTTACTCATACAGAGAATAATGCTTTTTTAGTCCAAGTAACTGGTAAATTTCCTAGAGATTATAAATTCAGACCACCATCATAAAAGATTTACATCTGTGAGCTCGTGTCCTTTTGCTAACAAATGTTACACACTTCTTCAAATATATATTTATTTTATCTATTAAATTCTTCTATTAACGTCTGATACTTTAACAGCTAACGATGGGATGAAAGGGAATTGAGGTAAGTATATTGTATTAAACCACTATTTTATTCATCTACTTGTATGGGTACATAACTTACTAACATCTCTGTAGATGGAGATAATTTTCATATTTTTTTTGTAAAATGTGATTTTATAATCTTTCACATGCTCTATTCCACTTTAATCACCCAGTGGACTCCAGGCGACTCTTTGGTGTCCTTTGATCACCCATGGATAAGAAGTCCACTTTGATCACCTAGGTGATTTTATCCATGGGTGATCAAAGGACACCAAAGTGTCGCTTGTAGTCCAATTTGATCACCTGGGTGAACAAATCCAGGTGATCAAAGTGTAAAAGACCTTTCACATCAATTTGTGTTACGGTTTGATCCAACATCATTTTTTTTCCAAATAGCACCTATTAATACCACATTTATATGTTGTTTTAAACTTTCACTCACTAATCACTAACATAATTATTGGTACATGGTAGCATACCGTCAGTAATAATAATCACATCGTCCCGTCAGTAATAGAATCGATGTTCTGTGTGTCCTAATTATGTACTTTCAATTAATCTAATCATTATTTTTTTAATTTCAGGGAAACTCCAGAAAACGTATTTAGGCCACGTCACGTTATTGTGCAATGGCAGATGCCCGCGCTCTTGTGACGTACTTCGTACATCGCAAGCGTTTGTCTCAAGCGCCGGCTCTCACCTTGCCTGGCGGTGAGGTCCTGAGGATCGTGGAGATACAGCCCGTTGAGGCCACGGCCGCAAGACTTCCACCACCAACCGCCCTTCAACATCGAGGCGCAGTTCAGCGATGATCTGTCATTGTCCCTGAAAAACAAACACATTCGTGAAAATTTCAAGAAATTGGCTAGGTATTAAGAGCGGTCACATAAGTACCTACCTACTTGTTACTAGTCTGGAGAGTAGTTTGAAAATTTTGATGCCTAACTAAAGTAAAGTGTTCCTACCTCTCACTATTGCAAATCCTGTAATGGTCATCATCTACCTACACTACTGTTTTAACCGCAAAAAAAAAATTAAGAGTAGCTAAATTTTTCGAAGGGGAAAGCTAATTTGTTTTTTAATTAGGTACATAAAATCTATTTTAGAATACAAGCCACTGAATGTGACCACTATGTATGTTTGACTTGAAGTTATGTAAATTGTGTTGATGAGAAGCACGATGGTAATTAGGTATCCAGTTTGGGCTCACCTGTTGTATGTAGAGAAAGGGCTGTTGTTTGAGCCGTACCAGGGGTCGTTGAGAGAGTCTCCAGCGTTCCCTTCGTACCCATCGATCTCCAATTTGTAGTATTCCGCTTCCGAGTAGATCTTGAAGTGCGAATACTGCGCGTATCTAGAACGTGACAACCAAAATTATTGGTCTAGTACACTTTGATCACTTGGATTTGATCACCCAGGTGATCAAAGAGGACTCCAGGCGTCACTTTGGTGTCCTTTGATCACCCATGAATAAGATCACCTACGTGATCAAAGTGGACTTCCTATCCATGGGTAATCAAAGGACACCAGGGTCGCATGGAGTCCACCTTGATCACCTGGGTGATCAAATTCAAGTGATCAAAATGGAATAGACCAAAATTATTTTATTTTCAATGGCCCTCACTTGTCTCGAAAGCCTATTTTGGTTTATTTTATGAAACCGTGCAGTGTGACTCACGGTTCCATGGTTTGAACAAAATGGGTCCATGTGAAACCAACATTTCGAGTTCGGAACATGTTTTCCATTTCATGTAATTTCATTTCACATTATACTTTCGGTTACTATAGCCATATTTTATACTAATTAATACGTAGAATTGTATTTTTCATATCAATTAAATTGATGTTTGTAGCTATGATGTTGTTTTATTGAAATCATGCTGCGTAATATAAAATTCTCAATAACGTTTTGGTTATATTTAATTAAAATTGCAAAACTACACTACGAGTATATGCAGTTCTCGAGAGCGATTCATTAGTGTACCTACTTAAATCCAAATTTTACTATCATCTGAAACAAATATCGAGTCTTAAGACATTTTAACGATGGTTTTTTAGAATGTAAAAAACTTAAATAATAATAATCATTACTTGTCATTACTTAGTTCCATGAACTTTGTTTATTGAATACTAGCTAACCCGGCGAACTTTGTTCCGCCTTAATGGCAATAAATAACGGGATAAGAAGTATCCTATGTCCTTCTCCTGGCTCTAAACTACCTCCCTGACAATTTTCAGCTAAATCAGTTCAGCCGTTCTTGAGTTATAACTGGAGTAACTAACACGACTTTCTTTTATATAATAGACTAGCTGACCCGGCGAACTTCGTACCGCCTTAGCGTAGAGATTTTCTTAATATTTTTTTCCGTAAGAACCATCCTTGGACTTCCACAAACATTAAAAAAAAAGAATTATCGAAATCGGTTCAGCCGTTCACACGTGATGCCGTGACAACGCGAAACGGGTTTCATTTTTATATATATAGATATAGACTACACTTACCTACTTACAAATGTTTTTTGTAACATTTAACGTATAAAAATATGCCTACTAACTCTACTAAGTAAGTAGGTATACGAACATTTAATTTTGTCACCATAATTTAAAAATGATTTCAAGATATCCTTTTAATCCAGACTATGCTAGCGTTCGGTCAAAGTATACCTAAACCATACGATTGCAGTGGAGACTATGACCATGATGAATGAGTAGTTCTTTATAGCGTCGTAATAATAAATAAGACACGTACGCATCTAGAGGTTATAGCACACTTAGCAACTCGGAAAGGCTTCAACACCGTATCGCCTTTCGTCGCGCTGTCAACCGCGAGGCGAGGCATTTACTAAACGGTGCGGATAAATGTGAGTTGATACGGTTACGATCCGATTCCTGGTTATTAAGTGTGCTACGTCCTTTACATTACGCACCGTGAACAGTAGCGCTTAGAACTTGGGCTGTTCTTACCGCTTGTTGCCGTCGAAGTCCTCGAGCTCGACTCGCAGCATGTAGTCGTCATTGTTGGTCAGCATGTAGATGTTCTCGTTGCCGAGCCAAAACTCCTTGCTGGGGTTGCCGAAGCCGTTCTTGTAGTCGCTCCAGTCCCTGTTGAAGTTCTCCGCGGGAATACCAAAGTCGTCACGTCGGTGGATCACCTGCCATGGACAAGTGTGATAAGTATAACTGTAATAATTTCTTCTAAACTAGCTTTCCGCCCGCGTGGAATGTTATGTCACAGAAAAACAATCGCGCGCGTCCCTGTTTCAAAAACCGGGATAAAAAGTATCTTATGTCCTTTCCCGGGACTCAAACTATATGCCAAATTTCATCAAAATCGCTTCAGTGGTTTAGGCGTGAAAGCAAGACAGACAGAGTTACCTAAATACCGGAATTCGTATCTATTCCTATTCGTAGTATCGCAGTAAGTATCCTCGTAAGTACTCATCGTCAACCATGGCCTGAGCCATCGCTCTACTAGGTAAATTCCATGTTTTATTGTTGAGGGCGGATTTACCCTACCAAAGGTGCCAACAACTGACGAGTAGGTACCTACAAGAAATACTAGATAGTTTGATTAATTATTCATAAAAATCAAAAATTGATGTCCTCATTTCTGATGAAGTGATTCAATGATTGAAATCTCTTGCACTGATGGACACGATCAACATCACAATGGTGTGACGTAACATTTTTTATCCACAACCAGGAAGCTCTTGGCCTGTATCTCACCTGATGAAAAAGTGATGATCGGGCCCAAGGTAAAGCGAGCTTCCTGCTCCACACCACATTCCTCCTCAACCACCGAGGAACTGGCTATCTTACCTCCAACTGCCGGAACACAACAACGCTGTTAACACTGTTGTTATGGCGACTGACTTGGTAAGATGGTGGTAGCTAACTAGGCAGGCTTATAACAATAAGCCTTACTTCGTTCGTTCGTTCGTTCGTTTCAGCCAAATGACGTCAACTGCTGGACAAAGGCCTCCTCCAAGGTTTTCCACAATGCACGGTCCCTTACTTACCACCAGCCAAACCGAACAGAAAAATCTGTCCCCAATAATGGGGATCAAACCCGAGACTCCTTGATCTGAAGTAGATGGTATACTCTAGAGCAGGGTTTCCCAATTTTTTTTTGCCAAGGAACCCTAAATGGTTATACTTTTTCTAGCGGAACCCCCGTACCTACTACTCCGCCCGCACACCCTGCCCCTCCCTTGTGCGTAAACAAGTCGGTGCGAGCGGACAACGTCGGTCACGAAACGTGGGATAATATTTTTTACGGAACCCTTGCGGCCTTTCCACGGAACCCCAGGGTTCCGCGGACCACCATTCGGGAACCGCTGCTCTAGACTCTAGAGATGAAACGGATATCCGGTAGGCCGGATATCCGTACACCCCCTGAAAAAGGAGCCTAGATACGCTAATGGAAAAACTAACTTAGCTTAGATCTTGGTTGGGTTGCAAACCAAAAGCTAAGCTAAGTTACTTACTTTTAAATAATAACCATTTCTAAACTGAGTTGTCGATAACATAATCGCCTTTATCAAGGTTACTTATGTAAGTACCTTGTTATTCCAGTTTATAGGTACTGTATCTCAGGCTTTGGTGGTTGTCTTTGTTTTTTATGTTTATTTGGCGGACTGTGCCTTAAAATATAGGTACTTTTTCCCTAACATAAAAAGAGATAAGTACTTACTTAATAGACAATTTACGGACTCTAAGTATTCGAACTAAGCTACCAGAAGCACTTTATTCAGTCGGCGTGTCATCCGTTTAACCTAGCTAGAAATCTTGTGTAATATTGTCTCATCTCTGATGGCAAAACACTGCCATAACCTTCGAACGAAGATGGTAGGTAGATATTTTTACATGTAGTGGTGAGCACGCCCTTAGACAGGCTCTAAGGGCGTGTCGCACTGCCACTGTACACGGCTTAGAACGTTTTTAACGTTGTGTAAGAGACCTCATAAGTAGTAACATGATTTTTTAATGAGTCAATTGCCGAGCCACATCCACGACTACGAGTACGGTTTTCTCTAACATTATTGTCACATTTCATCTTATAAAGGCCCGATTTAATAACGAAAGCTTCATTATGATGTTTATCTACATGAAAGTATGTTTAAGATCCTACTAATATTATAAATGCGAAAGTTTGTATAGAGGTCAACATGTTTGTTACTCTTTCACGCAAAAACTACTGAACGGATTTTGATGAAGCTTTGCAGTATTGTAGTTTATTTTATAACCCAGAATAACATTATAACTAGCCTATAATTTATGATTATTTAGTTGAAGCCGCGGGCGCGGGCAAAAGCTAGTTTAATAATAAATTTGAGTATTTCTTAAAGATTTGACTCACCGTCCACCCTCCGTCAGCGACGTTCTGCTCACAGTACACCTTGAGGAACCAGTAGGTGGTGCCTCTGATCTGCAGGTAGTACACGCCTGACTCCCTCATGCCAGCGTTCAGGAGGTCCACACACGAGTAGCCCTGAAAAAACCAGATGTTGTAAACCTCGGTTCACTTGGCAAGGACGCGGCAAGAGAGAAATGCACGAGAAGAATTTGTAGAAGAATGAGCAAATCGGCAAAGAAAATTTAGGGTAAGAATTGATTGTAAATATTGTAATGCAGGTCTAAATTTAGATTTGATCTTTTAAAGTCCCACTAAGTTGTTGGCTTGGGTGTGCCTGGGTGAAATTAGTCATTGTAAAAGATAGAGTTTAATAGAATAGGTTGTTTGAAACACAGATCAATATCTCTTTAAAGTTAATTGAATTACGATATTAGTGAACCATAATTCTGTAGGATAGTTATGCAAATCTGTTAAATAACATTTAACAGCGCTTTTTGGATTGGCCAAAACGAAATTATTTGTTTGCTCACTCAAAAGATAAAAAGGACAGAACAACAAGGAATTAAATCGAATACACGAATCAATTTTATTTAATTTTGATAAGAACTTGTTGTTTGTGCAATTAGAGTAAACGTCATCGTGCGGTTCTCTTTCACCACTTCCCAGTTCAACTCGCTAGCAGCCAATGCGTCGACATTCGCGAATTGACCTTTACACAAACGCAAACGCTTTTATGTTGGCACAGAGTAAAAAAGTTCGCAAAAGACATACTTATTTAGGTAGGTAGATATTTTTACACGTTTTCTGTCTGCCTTCCTTCCATGTTAGAAGTTTCCAAGTCTTATCTACGGTCTTCTTTACCCGATCGTAAAATGTAGAGAGGGTTGGTTTCAAGGTCAATACAATAAGTTATAAGTGATTGTTATTGCTGGCTGAGTACGAAACAAGCGTAAAACAAAGCTACAATAATTAATACTAATGAGAAAAACCGAAGTTGATCCGGAAGGCAGAAAATTAATATTACCTGCTAAAACATGGGTCGTTGTCCAAGTGATTTGAGCTATGACAAATAAAGCTTTTTCTTCTAAGCTACGCGTGTATGATTAAAGTGAATAAATTCGCAATGCTTGTAATATCAATTACGTACGACACGTACCTACATCGTACGTGCAGTGAGTGTGAACAACACTTAAAATTATACCATAGCGATGACACGCGCTTGTACGTACAGAATTAATAAGTATTTTTTATGATTATGTAATAAATACCTGCTTTCTTCCGGTCATCAAGCATGGGAGCGGGCACACCTTCGTAAAATGATCTTTAGTCATTCTGGTTAGCGGCATAGTTAGTTAATGTAATAAGTGGGTAACATTAAAATATAGGTAGGTACAAAACCAGAAGCGTGAGTAAGTCAAAGGTTATCTCTGTAATTATTTAAATTTATACTTAATTTCTTCATAGAAGTTGACAGATTAGGAGCCCATTTTAATACTGAATATTTAATGTAGAGTTTTGTGTTTGTAATAAGTTTTATTTTAGTGAAAAACTTACTTGAATAAAAAACAAGACGAGATTCCGTACCTACTTTTAAGAATCATAGTATTTTCTGTGACTTGAGGAGGTAGCGAAGCGATTACGATCTCAAATCTATTAGAACGTTACTACAAGCACCATATTTGTACTAAGAAGTGATATTTAATATCGAGTTTAACTTAATGACGAAACGAAATAACGAATATCACAATATCTAAAGGCGCAGCAGATACAGTTATTAATTTCTGTTTCTATGAGCTGGAAGTAGTTCGACAAAAACCCATAACTCAAACGCTGCGTAATCTCGCACATTAGTGTTCAATGAGATAAATTGCTAGGCGTCAAAAATGGTGCGCACTGACACATTACGCAAGCTTGTGACAAATCACGGCGAAACAAACGTAGATGGATAATGAATGATTTTAAGTTTCCCTTTCACGCGGTTCTCCCGAGTACCGATCACAATTGCACAGCTGATTTCTAAGACACCATTAATACTCGCATTTGTAAGGAAACCATAGCGACTGCCATTCACGGCTGTCCCCACACGCTGACCGCGATTGTTCTGTTTGCAAGAAGATAATTATTATTTCTTTCCGTTAAGAAGTGATTGCGTAAATATTGTTTGAGGATCAACTCTCAAAACGTTAAACAAAGGTAAAACACATAGAAAGTTCGTGGAAGATTCCAACCACTTGCAAATCGTTCCTTGAAACTGCACTCAGATGATTTATCACCGCAAGGAAAGGCTTTACTAAATCATTGTTATTTGTCTTTGCGTAATTTGAAACCACTTCTTGTTGGATATAACTGTCAGTCAGATAGGAAAGTCCGAGATATTTTTGCATCATTCCGCCGTGCAGGTTGTATTGTAATAGGTTACAATTTGTAATCTACCGTCACGATCACGACATGTCAATTTTCTGACGTCTTTCTGTGTGAGATGTAAGTAAGATGTAGGTAGGTAGGTAATTTCATGGCAGTAGTCATAAATGCTATCTACTTAGGTACCCAGTAGTAGTATAATTGAACGTGTGAGCTTTAATATAATAGCTATGGTGCTGTACCTACTGTAAGATGTTTATTTTTTATTAATAAATCTTACATGGCTAATTACAAATGATACCAGAAGGTAACATACACACATATCGACTGCATTAAATTATTTCTTCTTAGCAACACATAAGTATTATCTTGTTAACGTTATGAGAGTGGTTTTCTAGAGTCTATGGACGCACCTGAAATTGAGTTAAAAGTCTCTAATTATCATTTAGAACCCTCAATTTTAGTAGCTCCCAGTAAACTCTATTACGATTGTTACTAGTTTCCTACTCCAAAACATTTGATGTGCAGTTGAAACCTAACTACATTCAACGGATTAAAATAAATAACAGTCCTGCAAAATGTTGTTTAAGTTACCGGCGCTTTAAGTTACCGTGGGGAACGTTAACCGACGGCCCCACAAAGCGTTCAATAAATATAGATTTAGCAATGCAGCTACATTTGGCGGGGCCTACATTTGATCCAGATAAGTACACCTGTAGGATAGCGTTAGAGCTAATTGGTTGCATCACTGCTCGACATAACGGTTCTCGTGCTCTCGGAACAATCAACACGGTGTAACCGTCAGTAATTGTTTGGTGGGAACAGACGGTTTTTGCGCGCAAGCGCTAGCGCGGAAAGCGCACCCGATCTGGAGCAGTGAACCAGATTTACGTAATCTGCTCGATGCAACTTTCCTTGTGCGGAACCCTGAGCGCAAACCAGAACATGAGAGCGTTTTCACGCATCCACCCCCCGTACGATAATGAATGGACAAACATGGGGCAGGCCGGATCGAGTCCGACTCGCGGTTGTGCAATCGAGATCGTTACTTGAAAACATATGTAAGCGAATGCCTCCGACAACTGTCGCAATGGCCACAGACCTTTTGTTGGAATTTGATATGTTTTGACATTATCCAAGCAGTAACCGAGGTTTTTCAACACAAAATGAAGAATTTTGAACCTTTTATTTTAGGGCATTGCGAAATTACAGCGTAGTTAGGAACCCGCGAAGTGCTGCATGCGTAATTTCGGCGAGTGCGCCAATCTCTGAAACTAGTTGTGCTGTTGTCAGATTGTAAGCGGGTCGTGATTCCCGATTATGCAATATCGATCATTGTTTACAGGACTCATTGTATTGTTTTGCAACTCGGATTTAATGCTAGTGCCATTAAATCCGATTATTACTACGGTACGGAAACGTTGTGTTACTGCTGTTTTAAAAATTTGTCTGTTTTCTATTGGATTGAACAAGAAAACCTTTTCTAATTTCTCTCAGTACGAGTAGCATGGGTGAGAATGTGTTAGTTAAATTAACGCCTGTTTAATGTTATTTCCTCATTGCTTATTTATACATGTAAAATATGTGTGTACTTATGTAAAACGCGCCATGTTCACATATTATTTATTTTGTTAAACACAGCTTTCAGTCGTTTGCATTTGACATTCATAGCCATAATATAAATTTTTAGTCGGAAGGGGGAATAAATTTCAATCTGCCACTCTTGTTTGCTTAGATGGTTTTTCTATTTCGTGTCTTAGCTGTTATTTTAATTTTAAATCATGATAATTGCCTTAGGACATCGTTAGTCATACGGGAAACAGTTCCAAAACTCTACAGGCGACAATTTTAGAGACGATTAATATTCATGGGCAACATTCTGCGACACACATTATTTTATTATGTCATTCGCATCGGCGATATTAATTACAGTTTTGCTATTGATTCAACGACAACGAAAGGTGTTTTATAATGAGTAATATTAAGCTTTATGTAACATAACTCACTTTCACATCTTTATAGTTGGCGACGATCTCGGAGGCGAAAGTGTTGTTGCCGATGATGGGCTTGTTCTTGACGCTGGGGAAGATGATGCCGCCCTTGCGGCTGGACGGGCGCGGCGACGTGCTGGGCGGCGTCGTGGGCGCGCTCCCGTTCGCGCCGCTAGGACTGCACGCGACACAACCATTAGTCTCAGAACACACCCCGCAACCTGAACGCTACAAGGTCGCACAGCCGCGAGCATCGCCAGCCAAACAATCGCTTAAGCGCAACGCATAAAGAAAGATGTCACCTGTTGTTGACCGTGGAGGAGGGCGGCATCGTGGTGGCGGCGACGGTGCTGGTGCTGGGCTCGGTGGCGGGCTCGTCCACGCGGTACCGGTTGGGCGCGTACTCCACCAGCCGGTCGATGGTCGGGTCCAGCAGCAGCTCCGCGGGCACCGGCCGCTGCGCCAGCGTCGCCACGTCGTCCTCCTGCTTCTTCAATCTCTTCTCAACCATGTCCAGGTTCTCGATGATCAAGTTGGTCTTCACTCGCAGATCGTTATGAATCTGGCCGATAGCGCGTTCTTGTCTTTGTGTCTGCGTGAGTAGCTCGTCCGACTTCGGCACCAAGTCATCGACGGAACTCTTCGTTCCTACCACAACGTCCCATACCTCATCCATTTTCTCCGAGACGCTCATCATGGGGATTATTTTATTGACTAAGGTGTCTATTTTGCTAGCCTTCGATAGTGGTGATTGCGTGCTTGTCGTGGTTCGGTTTTTGAATAAACTGTTAACGTTAATGGTCGCTGCTTCTGGTTCGACTATCGCTGCGTGAACGTCTGCCATCATGTAGAGTACTTTACCCAAATTTTCGGAAACCAGATTAATGTGGAATTGCAATTTACGATCGACTGTGGACATCGATGTCCTCAACTGGTCCACTTCTTTCGTAATTTCGTTGATCACCTCGGAATTCAGGCCTTTAGCGATCTCTATCACGTTTAAATTAATGGGTTTCTTTTCACTCGCTTCTGCGTTTATATCGTCTACTGGCAAGAAATTGTTGTCAATTTGATTTTTAAGTCCAACTAATTTGGTATCGATATCAGATACTTTTTGGTCCAAAGATTCAAGTAGTTGTTGACTATTGCTAAGTTTATTTTCAGCTTGCCTTTTGGTAGTATTCTCTGTAGCAGTTTCTTCGTCATCCTGCACAATGTGGCTGAACAGTTTAAGGTCTAGATTACCAAGTTTAGATATGATGGCGTCAGTTTTGTGAATGTTGTCGTTGACTCTCGAATCCAAGGCTTCAACTCTCCTCATCAGATGTTCCACTGCCTTGTCCAGGTTCTCTATCCTCTGAAGTTTAGTTTCTAATGTGCTGACTATCACCTCGAATACATTGAATATGTATTGTTCCCTGAAACAAAACAAAGATTATGATGAGTCATGATATTTAAATTAGTTGTCACTTGTATGATTAACATCTATCTATCGATAATACTGTTACGTCAGAATACAAGTTGCGTGGGCTGATTGACCCACTACACGACTCAATGTTGTTGTACGAGTTTTAACGATTATAAAATTAGCTGGTGGCCTTATTACCGTGTTAGTACCAGATGAGTAGGTAAGTGAAGACATGCAGAATGCTGGACGGCAGCGATTAGCACGTACACCGAGCGCGCGTGAGCACGCGCTCAATATGACATATCAGGCGGCTCTGACTGACGCAACACGAGAAATAGAAACCATGAATAAGTGCTACTTGCGCGGGCGCCTCTATGGTCAATACGTGATACTATTTTCATTTCTCAAAAATTTCATTGTAAAAACATTAAAATAAATTGAAGTAAAACGAAGTAAGAAAACGAATGTACCGTTTAATAAATTAATTGCTTTAATTTAAATCGTTAACGGAAAGTATTTTATCAGAGCATTAGTTAGCTGTTTTCGTGGAATTTGTTAAATATTGTAGAAGGAAATGACTTCTTACTGGTACTTCCAAATATGTAAAGGGCCGGACGTGCCCTGGTTGAATTTTCCAATTATGGGTAAATAAGGCTCGCAGTAGCAAACCGACACTAACGCCGTGCATACTGTGGGATTGTCCTGTATCCAACCGTGGATTCTTACAGGCTGACAATAACGAAATGTCATTAACCTTACTAGGTAGTTACTATATTAATGATCATCAAATGAGTGCCACGAATTGCTCTCCAATAAGTCTGACGTAACATTTTAAGTATATTTCCTAAATTACGTCTCAAATGTTTAACCTACAATTTAGAAAATACCCAATTAGTGAGCTGAAACATTGGAATCTTAACAAACTTTGCGAAACAACGGAACAGAGAAATCGGTGCTTCCGTATCAGAATTATGTTACAAATATAAAATTGGATTAGGTAAACCGTCGAAATGTTGTCTGCTTCCTCTGGTATCGGTGTCAGCCCTACACTCTACACTGCAAAGAGCTACAGCACACGCAGCCCACAAGCAAGCGCCGCCGCGCGTTGCCCCCGTTTTGGGACCAGTTTTTGTCAAGTATCATTATGGCAAGTACGTAATAAAACGATGATAATCAGCATCGGACGAAAGGGATAGTTGAGTACCTATTTACTTATCTAAAGTAAAACAGTGTGTATTGCACATAACGCGTAGTGTAGAGTATGTGACCATTTATGTTATGAGTTATCTTGAGAAACTTAAAAATCGAATGAGTTGATTAATTCCAGTTCCACAGATAAAATGCAACACATTATATGAGCAAAATAACCCAAAAATGTGATATTGAACTTTAAATACAGCTTTTGAGGCTACAAGGTAGGAAGCAATTTTTTAGAAATTTTATTAAACCTTATCTTGGTTCATTGGAAAGCGAAATAATGTTAGTACCTACTACAGGAAATAACCACAGCAACTGCCTATTACAGTATGAATACCGGCAAAGTGGTAAGAAAACACTGTTATTTAAGGGGAATATCGCAATACTCACCGTTATTGCGATATTTTATCCGGAAAATCATATCAGCCGTGAACGCACTAAGTGGCCACTTCTGAAGCATTTAGCTCTTGTACTTCCGAATCTAGGAGATGTATAATTATTTCACAATCGTGAATCAGCTTTTGAATCACGATTCGAAAGCTTTTCATGATTCCAAAGCTGATATAATAAGATATTTTTGATATGTTTTCCCAAAGTAAGGCAAACTATATTATTTGGAGGTGTGTAAGTGCCTCTTAATCTTAATTGTCCCCTGCACGATTAAGTGACAGTGTATGAGCTCTTTAAACTTACTACCTACTTACCTGTGGACGGGGACTACTGATTTTTTAGTATCTTTAAGATGTTTAATATAATATAGGATCAGTATGAAAAGCGACATTTATTAGAGGCCTATTTTCAGTAATGGACACCCAAGGGGATGACTGGCCCATTAGTTTTTACTTCACTATATTTGAATGATTCCCGATTGTGCCAGAGGGCTCTGGCGCATAATTTAATGGCTCAAACTTCAGCGAACGATTTGTATTGTGTAGTTTATTTATGACGGTTAAATGAGCCCAATAAATAGTACCGATTATTGTGTAACAGGTATGTACGGTCGCCGTCAATTTACAGCTCAGCCAGACAATATTGTCCATAGAAATGTCCTCGGCGGTATGCTCTGTGCAATTCCAGAAGATATACGAGTGTACAGCTGTCTTAGATAATCAACCCAGTTTAACCGTTCTCGATTTGAAGTACCTACCTACAGAATAAATTTTAACCGGGAACTCGCAAACTATACTTTACTATACCATTGATTGGGCAATGGATGGACATAAGGAATTTATTATACTTGATAAACAAAAAGATATCCAATTTCCATACAAAATATTCACATACAAGATATCAATATGCACCCTTGTGTTAACATTTTGTGCCATAAAATACTCTTTATTTTCATTATCCTACCGGATCTGTAGCATACATGGTGTCCTTTATTTAGCTACATTAGATGATTTCCTCGTAGAGTCTTAATAGTCCAGTCATTTAAGCTTAAATTAGGTAAGAATCTCGGAATTAGAGATACCCAGCTGTAAGTCTGTAAATACTTGTATATTGACACCCTAAAAGTTGTCTCAAAACCTACATATGGTAGGGTGTAAGCAACTATTAAATTTTAAGGTCAAAGGTCACAAAAATCGGTTTTTTGCGCTTTTTTTGGAAATATCTCATTTCCTATGGGTTTTTTGCTATTTGTATTTATTATCAATATTGTAGAATACTAAATTCTCTACAAATTTTGTTTAAAAAATTTTTTTATACGGTGAACCGTTTTCGAGATAGAGGGCGGAGAGCGCGCGGTCACTGCATCACTTCAGGTCAACTTAAGCGGTTTAGGTTTTTCATACAAAAGGATTTTCCCGCTAATTCCCGTGGGAATTTCGGTAATTACTTGTTGTAAATAAGCTTTAAGTTTACTAAGGTACCTACATGCCAAATTTCAAGCGTCTAACTTCCGTTAAGCGTTTAGATTTTTCATACAAAAGGATTTTCCCGCTAATTCCTGTTCCCGTGGGAATTCCTAAGTAAACTATAACCTGCCCAGGTGTATGAAGAATAATTGTACCAAGTTCGAAATTCCCACAGGAATTAGCGGGAAAATCCTTTTGTATGAAAAATCTAAACCGCTTAAGTAGACCTGAAGTGATGCAGTGACCGCGCGCTCTCCGCCCTCTATCTCGAAAACGGTTCACCGTATAAAAAAATTTTTTAAACAAAATTTGTAGAGAATTTAGTATTCTACAATATTGATAATAAATACAAATAGCAAAAAACCCACAGGAAATGAGATATTTCTAAAAAAAGCGCAAAAAACCGATTTTTGTGACCGTTGACCTTGAAATTTAATAGTTGCTTACACCCTACCATATGTAGGTTTTGAGACAACTTTTAGGGTGTCAATATACACGTATTTACAGACTTACAGCTGGGTATCTCGAATTCCGAGGTGAACTTACTATAATGACTGGACTATAACGGGACTTTTCGGGGTTTAAATAAGTATTCTTTAACTTTACTCGTGATACATTCAGGAAATTGTTAAACTTTCACACGCCTTGTTAACGAATTCCAAATGTGTCCGAGTGATACTAACCTATCGCACTAATAACTGAGTAGAGCTGTATGTAGTAGGAACATGTTTAATGTTTATAGTATCTATGTTTTGATTCATGTGATCTTCACGAGTTCAACATCAAGTGGCATCTCTTAAAATTTCTGTAGTAAATTTTTAATATTCAGTAGTGGGGCCAACAGGTCAAACTATTAATATTAGATGTATTGTGTTGTCATTTTTACTGTGCGGTTCTCACGACAAGTTATTTATCTATTATAACCTGGTTATATAACGTCATGAAATATGACAGAATGGTCCACACAATAGATAGTTAAAAAGCCTCTTAATTTTTTTGAAAATCTGTGAAACATTTGAGAAACTTATGAAATTTTAAAATAAGCAGTTGTGAGAAAATTAAAGGTTAATTTGCATTTGTATACAGCATTCATGAAGGAAATATGCGAGAGATCAGTATCAGCATGAAATTGGAGTTTATAGTGTTTTTGCGTAAATAAAGTGGCATTATTATATTATACTCGTACAGGGTTAGCCTTATTTTAAAACTTAAATATAGATGTTGACTGGCAATGACTGTGGCGCTTCCTGGAAAAGCTTATATGCCCAGTGGTGGACTAAAATGTGGAAACTTAAACAAAAAGTAAAAACCGTCTGTTGAAGTTCAAAATGGCGAAAAGATTTCTTGAATGCTAGCCAAAGCTGATGTAAGTAGAAACTATGTTAAGTATTTTTAAATGAATTTTTTCTCAGATGGATTTTAATTTAACAAAATATAAATGTTTGAAGGCCGCTATGAGTTCGATTCTTAATTTGGGGTTTGTGTGTTTCATACCATAATTTGTTTATTTATTAACCAATCAACTTTCCATTTTTTAACAATAATGCTATAATAATAGGAAGGGGAAGAAGATGAAAAATATCAACGTTGAAGCCGAATTAACACATAAGCCAAGACCAATTAAGTGTTTTAATAGGTATAAATACTTACATTAGTACCCAATCAATCCATTTAATTAACGATGACATATGGAATTAATAACAAATGGTACAGGATTTCTATCGTGTTAACTTTTTGATTTATTAAATTTGGACATTTCGGTGTTGTTTGATCATTATTAGAGTGTAGACTAAATACGTAATGTTTTATGTAATTTATACTAAATACTTACATAGTTCGTTATGAAGCATCACTATCGCCTCTAGAAAATGTGACATTTAACTTTATATTGGTATTTTTATAATCGCATCGCTTACAAAACAGTATAAAGTATTATACCTAGCACTTTAAAGCA